TAAATATTACATTACACAAAAAAAAAAAAAAAAACAAAACAAAAAAACAAACAAACAAACAAACAAACAAACAAAAAAAAACAAAAACAAAAAACCCCCCCACTTCTGTGAGCCTAACTTTCATCCTGTGATACTTTCAGTGGGACTGTTATATCCACAACAATTTACCTGTGAAACCACTTTTAAAAGGTTAAAACAATATACTTAATGTATTTCTAGTGAGTGGTGTCTTGCCTCTTGTTGCTGACCAAGAGATATCCTGTAAAGGAAGTAGCTAATCACTGTCTCCTTGGGAAATGTTTACAAAGGGACGTTTGGGATGATGTTATCTACATCCTGTTTCAGTAGCTGTTTTGTTCTTTAAAATCAGATGGTGAACCAAAAAGAATCATTCTCAGTAGTATTGTTATGGTTTTCCTTTCTGTATCTTGAGTCTCATCGTTTCTGGACAGTAGCTATACTGGAGGTACCAGATGATTTTCACTTTATCTATCCATACTTTATACACATACATTTTAAGAAAGAAGGTATTGCAGCATGGTTGGGGTTTTGGGGGGGAGTGGGAGGAGGAAGGGAAGAAGATTAATTTTCCTGCAAATCTTATCAAAACCAATTGGTAAATTGTATATACACATAAGCATCCTCATGACCTGAGTCAAAACTGATCAACTTTGTTAATTCTGAAAGACCATAAAGGAAAGAAAAATATTTTGCTATGGCCTACTGGAGGGAAATGGAAGTTATGATGAGAATGTCCTTGATCTTAGTTATAGTAAATAAAAGCTTTTCTCTTTCCCTGATGTCAGAATTAAATGTGATTTTGGTGATATATAGAACACAGATTTCAGTTATCAATACCATTAGGTTTCACTGCATATTGTAGTATCATAATAGATCCACTGTGTGCTACTTCTGAAACAGCTGGACATTAATGCAAGGTAGGTAGATGATCCTTATAGGCAGGTGATCAGTGCTTATTGTATTTCCTAAATAGGAAAACACTAAAATCTTTAATCAATAGAAAGGCTGAGGTACTGCTTGTAGGACTAAGCCTCAAAGCCACACAAATGAAAATGTGCTTCTACTCAGAAGAATTCCACCAGCTAATAAAATTTTCTGACTTACCAGACTTGATGTTTTTATATATTATCAAGATATATGTTCATTGCTTTTCCTACTGGAACAATTAATTTTAGTTCACTGTTATTTAAAATCTTCCAGATTAAAAACAACCAAAAAGCGTAACAGTTTCAGTTACACATAACTGACAGTTCAAGACCATTGCCAATCAGCAGCTTGCAAATTATATGTACAAACAACTAATGATAAACTTAGGCATAGTTCTTAAAGTAAAGTTTAGACTCTTTGATGACTTTTAAGCACTTTAGGGAGTCCAGGGTGAAAACAGAAGGAGAAATTAAGTTATTAAAAATTCTGAAATATCTAAATTTTCAAGGACCACCTCACTTCATCTTGTAAGATTTGTCTGAAAAGAAGAATTTGGCTATTCTGGGGGGGATTCATCTCTGCTCAGAATCCATCACGGTACTGATAAAACTCAGGTATCAGTGCACTGTATGCACTGCCTGATGCATATATACATCTATTGGTGCCAAATTTCCAAGAATGCGAAATCTGGGTTGCAAAATCATGCACTCATGTATACTGTGCTCCACTGGAATAAATGAGCATTTTCACAAGCATAAGTGCAATTATTTTCAGAGTATTGTTAAGCAATTGGATATATTCTCACCAACACACCTGTCAGTCAAGAAGAGATTTTCTCAATCATCTTTGTGAAGTGCAGTGAGATTGTTTTTCCCATTTAAAAAGGGGAAGAAGAGGCACAAGGGAAAGGCCACAGAAGTTGTCGTACTTGAAATGAGACAATGAGGATCTTTCCTCCAAAAAACTAATTAGCTTTACTTAGTACTTTGCATGGTCAAAGTACATGTTTTTATTTAATTTTCACTAGTGAATTCTCAGATTTCTGAAATTTCTGTAGTCAAAAGAATGCCCAGTCAGCATCCAAAACCTGAGGAATACAGTCCATAGATGTGTGGAATGGGATTATCAGACCAAAACCCGCACTAATACAACTTTCTAAAAATAGTAATGTTTGATAAATTAGTGAAACCACCCAAAGCCTAGATCATCCTGATCAAAAGTTATGACCCAGGCTTGGAAGAAGACACTAAAAATGCTCTACTAGCTCTAATAGAAAAAGACACACCAACAAAAATTGTTTTAACAGCTACAGGCTTTAATTATAACAGAGAAGTACAGTTAGATAGCGCCTTAAGTAGGAGAGCTATTCCCATCAGCTGATCATATGAGATAGCCTCATCTCTGGTGTATCACAGCCCAGATGAAGGGAGTTTTTTCATGTGTAATTGCTAGCAGGCTCTCACTGACGACAACTTGTTAAACCCAGTGATTCTAATTACTACCTAGTTTGTATAACATATGTCAATTTTTCATACAGTGACTCTTCATAGTTTTCCATTTGCTGTCCTTTCCAATTATGTTAGCAAGCTTTCCTCCTTTACTGGAAGTGCTTCCTACACTGGATTGTTTGGCTTGCCTTTCTGTTGTCTACTGACTCCACCAACTAGGAGATGCTCTGTCCGCACTGAGGAACCTTCTCATTTGTGATCACAAAAAGACAACGAAAAGCTTTCAGAATCAGGCTGTGATTTTACAATGATCTGTGTAAAACAGATCTAAGTGAAAGCTACTGGAAAAATGTGTGGTCTTGCTCTCTTGCCCTTGTTCGGTTGTGGCAGCAGTTGAGCTAATATGAGTGGGTGGTGAAATGAATTAAATAACTGATACTGCATGGCAGAACATGTATCATTTTTACTTGGGTTGGGTTTTTTACTTTGATAAATTTTTGTGTATAACTTAGTATGTGGTTGTACAAGCTCCACTAGTTTTCCCATTTTAAAGAGCAGCAATATGGGCCCCGGAAAGATGGCAAAATAAATGAGCTTAAAGTAGATATGAAAGAACAGCTTAAGAAAATTATTTTCACCCCAGTTCAAGGCCAATCTAGGTTTGTGGGATCATACTAACTTGGAGGGAGAAAGGCATATCTTGAAGTACAACAGAACTTCAAAGATTCAGCTTGCATCTGAGGCAGTAAGTTGGTCCCTTCACTTGGTTCCAGTGGTAAAATCCAATTTATAAGTTACTGTTGTTGCAAGATCTTCCAGGAATTTGAGAAAAGCAGTGTAAAAATGCCTGGCTGATCATGCTCCCTCAGGAGATATGGCCCATCCTAGCCAACATCATCTTGCAACTCTGTTAGCATGGCTCCTTTGGATTGTAAGTTATATTTCAAAATAATCATCTACTGAATGAAGCACTGAGAACAGAAGAAATACCTTGCCTTTCCACTGAGCAAATCTCTGATCCTCTGAGGACACAAACTAGGCATGAATATACTTTACAGTAGACCATTTCATCTGAAGAATGTCACGTTCAAGGATCAGTATGTCAGACTGCTGTGAGGACATGTAAGTTACAACCGAATTTTTGTATGAGATTGTGTGCTGTAAGGTTTATATACAGATTACCTTCTAACCACAAAGCTAGAGCGTATTCTTTCTGTCAAACTTCCATTTATTTGTGTGTGTGTATGCATGCACATAAACATCTCAAGGAAGTGTTAAAAAAAAAGCAAAGCTAGCTGGGATATACTCCTCTGAAGTAGAATTCAGCCAGGGGATTGGCTTAGCAACATACTTGATACAGATAATATCACAGACCACGTGACCTGTGGTCTTGGATGTATATTAATGCATTTGTGTTTCTTAAACCACAGTGACCTTCACGTTCTGTGCTAGGAATGAGCTTAAAAGTTACTTAGAAGAACGTGACCTACTCAATCACAGATGTGGTTTCCAGGATGTAGGAGTTTTCCTTTTATATGGAGGTCTTCAGCAAAGCAAAAGTCAGGTTTGCATGGCTCCTGTTGTGCTAACGGTAGTTACCACTGCCTCTGAGAAAATGCCAGTGAGCCACGTCCTTTGAAAAACTGACCATTTTGGAGACCTAAAGAGAAATGTGCCCTGGTTGTTGGTGGAGAATTACTTTGAATATGTGGACCTTCGCAAATTAGTCTTCAAATTAAAGAAGAAGTTTATGAAAACTATCTGGCTCTTGGTGTGAGGCACAACGGCATTATGAATGCCCAAGTGCTTTTTAAGAGCATAAACTGAGCTCTCAAAATATGCTGTTGAGAATGCAGCAGCCAGAGTTCCCGGTGACCCAGTACTTTTGTACTGCTCCGTCAAGTGTACTTCTCAACAAAAGACCATTTGGTCAAACTGTAAATTACAGGGTATGGGGTGAGTTTGCCCTTTCAGATTTTCTGCCAGGTTATTTCTCCTCAGAAGCAAGGGAGCTGTCAATGATTAAAAGCTCTCAGAACCTCGTAGTTCTGATACAAGGACCGTGAAAGCTACTGGGTCCCCTTCCCTTACTCTGCGATTAAACTGGAGGGACAGCGTAAGGTGCCAAATAAGCACAGAGGCTCGAAAAGACTAACCGCCCAGTGTGGGTATCTCAGTTTTGCGCCCCCACGCCAGCATCGCCCAGACGCGTGCTTCCAGCTGCCCGTGCCCCGCGGGGAAAGACCCGGGCGCCTGCCCGCCCCTCAGCCCCCGCCGCCCCCCGCGACAGGTAACGGCGCGGAGGGGCCGCCGCCTCACACCTCGCCCCGCCCCTCCGCCGGCCGTTGGCGAGCCGGCCAATCAGAGCTCGCGTGGGGCCAGGGCGCGCGTGGGTCCACCCCACCCGCAGTCACGTAGCCCCGCGGCGGGGGCCCGGCGGCGGCCGGTACTGTTACGGGCGCGGCGGCCGGCTGGGTCTCGGCGGCCGGCTGGGTCTCGGCGGCTCCCGGCAGCTCCCTCCGCCCCGCCCCGCCCCGCCCCGGCACAGCCCTCCCGGGTGCCCCGGCCGCGGCACGCGTGAGCCCCGCCGTGGGGAGGGGGTCCTGCTCGCAGGGGGAGCGCCTGCCCCGCCCCGCCGGGCCGAAGTTGTGCCGTGGCAGAAGTTGCGGCCGCTTTCGAGCCGGGCGGTGCGGTCGGGGGAGCGCATTTCGGTACCTGGTAAATCCGGTGGCTTCAGAGAAGAGCAGCCCGGTAGCTCAGTACTTCCTTCTGCCGATAAGATCTTCGCCTGCGCTCGTCACGGGGGGCGGCTGCCGCCGCCGCTGCCCCGCTCGAATCGGTCTCAGGCTCCTCCCGAGGCGAGCCGGGGAGCGGGAGAGCGGCGGGGCGGGAGGCGGCGATGCGCGGGCCCGCGCGGCTCCCCACGGCCCCCTGCGCCCCGCGTGGTCCCGGTCCCTGCGCTGCCGGCATAGCCGGCCGGGCGGCGGAGGCGCGGCTGGTGCCGGCATGGGAACCTTAGGGAGAAGGAGAGAAAACCAGTGAGTTCGCCGTTGCCGTTCGATTCCCCCGCTGCCGGCGGCGGAGCGGGCTGCGCTCCGGGGGTGGGCGGCGGGTCGCGGGGGTCACACGAGCGTGAGGCGCCCGCCCGGGGCGGTGGGGACGGGCGCGCTGTGCTGCCCCCGCGGCCGCGCTGGCGTGGGCTTCCGTGGGGCGCGGTAGTCCGCGCGGCTGGGGTCCTCTGGGGTGGGAAAGAGGGGGGGGGGGGCGGAAAGAAGCGCTGGGCGGGTGGGTGTGTGTGTGTGTGTGTGATGTTATTTCAGCCTGTGGAGCGCAAGTGCGCGCCGGGCAGCGCGGGCCGGGCCGGGCCTCGCGTTGCGGTCGCTGAGCGGCGGCGGCGGCGGCTCAGCCCCCGCCCGGGCTCCGGTGCCCGGCGCTGTGCCGGGGGGCAAGGCTGTGCCCCCCCCTCCCCCGGGGCAGCGCCGCCTCCCCCAGGCGCCAGTTCGCGACCCGGGGATCGGCTGTTGGTGACTTCTTCCCTGGCGCCGAGCAGCGCGCAGGGCAGGCGCGGGGTGCTCGTCTGTCCCCCCCCCCCCCGCCCCCCCGCACTGCTTTAATCTATTTTTCATGTCAAGCGGCTGCTGCAAGGGGATCTGCTCTAATGAATGGCTAGTTTCAGGCGTGCCACCGGCTGAGTTTTGCCTGTCCAGTGTTGCCAAGTCGGCCGCAGTGCTACTGTAAACTTTTTTGGGGTGTGGACACTTAGTTTTTCTACATTCTGTTGCCAAGACCTCAGATATCTTCTGCCGTAACTCCTGCTTTACTATTCTTGCCTTGTTAGGATCGTCTGCCCTGTGTAGAGGAGACGCTGGAAAAAAAATAAGAGAAGGGTTTAAGTTTGTAAAAAGTAAACCCTGAAAGCTGGTCAGGCCCTTTTCTTTTTATATGAGAACAGGAAGTCAGATCACAAAGCTAAGAGGGAAATTTAGAGAAAGGGGGAAGCAAAGAGAACGTTCTTTGCAATGCCACTGTCAGCTTCACCTCAGAGGAGCTGAGTGATGGTCACTACCTCTGCAGGCTCTGGCTTGTATTTTCTTTGTTTTGAAACTGTGGAGGGCTGGGGTCCGTGATGGGTTGTAAGTGACATTGTGGGCAGTTCTGTGGCTTTCCCAGTATTCAAATGAGACAGAAATTTACGATGAGGCTTGAACTTCCCTGGGATGAAGGAGGGTCCAGTCTGTCTTCATAAGGCGTACATATTTCCAACTTCATCCAGGAGTGCCTATATGGGGATGTTTGTGTCTTTACCTTCCCTATCTGTATGTGATACGCACACTGGATAAATTTCTATGCCTCTTTTTTTTTTTTTTTCCGCCAGGACTGTCAGTTTATTAATAAAGTCTTGCATAGTGTTCCGAGAAAATTTGTAGGAAAGCTTAAGATGGCATCTTAAAGATGCCAGAGTCACTTGTTTAGGAAGTCTGTGGAGTGTAACTTGCCCCTGAAATAAACCCGTTTTATTGAAACGTCATTAGTTGCCCTTTTGTGAACTATATGATTATACTCTCAAGTCAGATTTTGAAGTGGTTCCACTTACTTGCAGGCAAAAACGTTTCAGCACTTTTCATAAATATAATAATGTGCCGATTTACTATTTCATACAAAATTATGAACAATGAACAGCCTTTAATAGTATCTGTAGATTTGAAGAATGTGTACGTCTAAGATATTATATGATCAAAACACAAGCCCTAATCTAGATACCTGCTTTATTCTGGTCTCTCTTACCTTTAATAATAAAGACATCAATTTACTCATGCATGCAATTTTAAAAAAACTTAGTAGGAAATAATAGTATAGAACAGATGCAAATTAATATTTGTTGGTTTGGTTTTTTTTGTTTTGGTTGTTTTGGTTTTGTTTGTTTGATTGTTTTTTTTTTAAATTGTGAAATAATCTACTGTAAAGTTTCACTGATTTATTGTTTACTTAATAGTGATTTTTCTAAATGAAATTAATAAAGCTAATCTGGTGTTTTCTGATGTGTGTAATAATTGATTATAGTTATAATTTTTTTCTCTTTTGATTTTGGTGGGCATACAAATACGTGGTGGTAGATTACTGCATAACAATATTCCTGTTACATAGTTTGAGGGCTTTTTATACTTGTGCTGAAAATGTAATATAAGCATAACTCCCCAACAAAGACTTCTGGTAATCTTGACAGATCTTTCATGGAGCTCTATAGCAGTGTGCTCCACAATCCACGTTTAGCAGGAAAAAAAAAAAATTCACTTACTGAGCAATCTCCTTCATGTGCCTATTAAGTGGGAGGGTTATGTCTTTCAGCACCCTAGCTACAGGGAGTTAATTGTCCTTTAAATCTCTCCTCCTTTCCCATGAAGTGTAAAATTTGCCACTTGATCTTCTTGTATTTACTTCACTTTTCTGCTTTCTTTTAGGCAACCTGCCCAAGCATGCAGCACGGCCCCTGAATCAGCACTTGAGCTGAAGCAGATCAGTCATTGTCCCAGCCTTTCAACTTTTACCCAGGTCACGATGGTGCCACTGGGACACTTAGCCAAAGGGGCCACTTTGGAAGATCTGCTTGAAACCTGCATTCAGTCTTTTGGTGAGTGTCTGAAAGTTTTTAGAGTTGCATTAGTTTGTTTCTGTCCTGGCTACGGTTAGGTCACTTGCTAGTGAGTTGCATTAATTTATTAGCAGAGCAGAAAGGTGTAACTGAGAATTTTCTATGCTGTAGGTGAGCTCATATTTTTATAGGTCTGTGAATCTGTTTATGCATGTGTGTGTAATATATGCTAAGAGATTAGTGTGACCATGGCTTTTTTGTGAGATAATAAGACAAACACGAGTCATCTATACTTCTGTGTGTGTTTTTTGTTGTTTCTTCAAGTACCAATTTGGTAAACTTCAGCAAGTAATCATTATATTTTGCATACTGCTGTAATATTCTCATAATACATGTAGACAATGTGTTTATGTTAAACATTTTGAAATGAGAAGGGCTATTTTTAAACTAGGAGAAATAACATTGGCTTACTTCTTGCATTATCAGTATAGATTCAAAGTTACTTTTTGAGCCGATCGGTTATTTGTCTCTTTTTACAATAAGGATTGTAATATATGGACAAGCATGACTGTTGCCTAAGCCCTATAACACTAGTTTCATTTTCCAACTTTTAATTAGTAAATGTGTTTATTTTTTATGTTATTAAAATATGTTAGTACTGAAGGCACTCAAAATTATTCTGAATAGTTTGCTTGTAAGTCATGCATCTGTTTGTTAATGCGGTGTTTTTCCATGCTATGAATTATTCCCAAAGCATGTGCAGCAAAATCTTAGTTTCAGAGTAGTCCTTAGAAAATAAATGTACTTGAACGCCCACTAAGCTCTAAAATAATTAATCTATGTAGTTAAATAGTAATACATAGTGCTGATCTAGTGATACAGCACAAATACCATATAAACAATGACTAATCTTTCCCATTCATTGGAAATGCTTTTTTTTTTTTTAAAAAAAAAAAAAAAACAACCAACCCCCCCCAAAAAACAACCAACCAACCAAAAAAAAAAAAAAAACAACAACAAAACAAAAACCAAACAAACCAACAACTTTAGAGCCTTCTAATCAGCATGTGCAGGGAAATGCATGTCTGAGAAGTTGATGAAACCTATAATTGTCAGTAACATTTTGGCTTCTTTCCTCCTCCATTTAATTATTGTAAAGAACATATAAGTGGAACTGCTATAAAGCTCTAATTCCTAAAGAAATGTTGATTAATATTTTTATAAGTTTTGGTTTACTAGGAGTGAGATAAAACATCCAAAGCGTGTGTAAGACCTTCATACAGTTTTAATATTGTGACTAATTGACCAATAATAATGTGTCTACATTTTTATGAAAAAGAAGTATTATAAATGTAACTTTATAAAAATCTAGTAAAATTATTATGATGATTGATTTCAAGTAGTGTAGGTAAAACCCTGAACAGGATATCGTTGCCTTAATTATTTTAATACTTTTAAAATAATCTATGTATATCAGCATACACATGTTTATGTGTTCTCGGATTCCTGGGCATCCATATATTATAAGGACTAAGGTGACAAAGAAAAGCAAGTGTACCTGTCCAGTTCAGCTATATATGCATGTAAATCTTTCTAAAGGATTTTATACTTCAGTTAGAAATTTACCATTGTCTACTGAATAGGGTTTTCCTGAGCCTTGACAAATGATACGTAGGTCTAGCAAAGAGAATTGTAGTGCATCTGCAAACATAATCTTAAAGTCACTAAGGACTGCTAGTTTAGACTCTTTATTGGGCAATTCATAGTAGTGTCTGTATTTGTACATCTTCTATGACATTATGCATGTTCTTAAGCTATATTGGAATTTCCCAGTAGGGTATTTACATAAATTGTAAAGTGCAACAGTTATAATTATAGATAACCTACATAACGAAGTTCCTTAAAGAAGGTTCTTGTAGCTACCAGCAAAAGCACTGTGCAAAATTCATTCACATCATCGTACCAATAAAGGAAAAGATGGAAAAAGCTTAATCTGGGAGTTTGAGGAGGGGGGGGGATAAGGAGAAAAAGGGAGGAAAAAAAGCACAGTAGCTGAATGATTACAAGTAAACTAAGGGATTGAGCAAGTTTCTTCCCGTGCATAGTACTAAAGTAAAGCTATTACCCTGTACTCTAATATTTCTGTTCAGACTGAGGTTATATATTCTGTCTCAGATATGCTGACCTATAATATTTCATATATTATTCTAGAAATTTATTATTGTGATCTAAACAAGTTTTATTTCAATATTAAAAATATAGAAAACCCTAAAACATATACAGAGGAAATCGGTGCTTATTTTAAGTTTACATTCTGGAAAAATCCCTTTATCCATTTGCTGTCTAGAGTTAAGGAGAACATCAAGCAGTAGATAGAGATGATGATGTGTCACATTTCATAATATATACTGCATCATGTTTATATTATACTGTACTTGCTAATATTATGTGTACAATTACAAATACAATTCCTATGTATAGTATGCAGCTGAATTTATGTTCCTGGACCCAATTATACAAATTTGTAAAAAGCAGATGATGTGTAAGAGAGGCTGCGGTCAACAATGGTGTGTAAGGGAAAGTTGGCAGCCTTTTGCCATATATGCAGAGAATATCACAAGAAGGTTTAACCAAGAAGGCATTAAGAATTAATACACACAGTGGTGAAGAACACAAGTTTAGGTTATTTATCTTACAGTATGGATAAGGGAGGGGTGGGGGGTGGGGGGAATGAAAAAGAGGGATATGCTAAGTTGAAGTTAAGAGTGAGTAGGCTAAGCATTGCTGTTATTGTAAATGGATTTCAGGATGTTTTATAGCAAGACAAGTGTTGTCCAGTGAGCTATGCTAATCTAAAACCTGTGCTAAGGAGTCAAGGTGCAAAGATTTGGATCTTGGAGTTAGTGGTATTGTCTGTGGTTCTACAGCAGTGCTGGGTAGAAGATGATGCTAGAATGTGGACAGAATAGTGTGAGTTACAATGGTGGTGTCATACCTGCTAATTCCAAAAGTAAAGAATTAGGAGGCCTTTTGTTTTTGTTTTCTTTTTTAGAAAAGACCAAAAGCTCATTCAGTGCAATTAACTTAAACATCTACTTTTGAATGACTTGTGTGTGTTCTTTCACCTCTCAAATTTTGTCTTCTTTAGCTTGAACTGATGAATGACAGGCATGTGCTTTATAGGCAGAAACAGTGACGGTCATATGAGATAGTGTGAAGTCACGTAGATGATCACTACATCTGAGAGATCAGCGTTACAGCAGTGCTTATTCAATAGCATGATGACAAGGAGATGCTGAAAGTAGAGGTTTCTTCAAGTCCCATGAAAGGTTGCATCAAAATAAGTAAGATGAATCATCCTGCAAATGAATTGCCAAAAGTAAAGGCAACAGAAAAGCCAGGATGTAAGCTAGGGCAAGAGTTCAGGAAAACTAGCATGATGAGAGATTGAAGGCAGGAAGTGTTTAGAAAGGAGTATTGTTCCTGAGATTAGGATATTTGTAGAGACCTGAAACCTCTCTTATCAGTTTGAAAAGATTTGGTTATATAGGACAATGATTCAAGACATGTTCTACATGATTTGGAAGATCTCTCAATATTCTAAGTAGCTATGGGATGCTGTTACTGCTATGATCTGTATTGACAAGAAAAGCACAAGTAAATGCATCACGTGATGCTTTAGAAAAGAAGGGGAAGTGTAGAATGTAAGTGGAGCTGACAATAACTTGTAAAGATGAAAAAGTGATGGTGTGGAAAGTTGTAACAGAGGAGGAAAAGAGATATCAAAGAAGGGAGGAGAGTGCATAGACAAAGAGGAGGAGGAAGGGTAAAATGATTAAAAACACCAGAAAATACAGAGGCTGTAGAAGGTTTCACTGAACCTAACCTTGTCAGAGGGGTTTATTCTGAAAAGAAAGATCATAAAGAGAAAATTAAAGGTAGATGTTCAATTGGCAACAAGATGACTGATATTGTGAGTTCAGGGAACCAAAGAATAATTAATAGTTCTTGGATTGGAATATGACAGCTTCAAGAGGGGGATAATTTATTCTGGAGGAAATCTTCATTAGTGACTGTTATTCTGGAGTGGAATTGTAAGTAGAACAGTGACTTTCACTCTCTGTATTAATGTTTTTCCATTCTGTATTATATAAAATGCCTGGAAAAGAATGTACTTTTGACTGGCAGATAGTTCTCTGAAAGTCAATATGGATTTGTCTCTGACTTTGTTGCTGGTTTTAAAGACGCTTATTCTATCAGCTTTGTAGTTGAAACCAACAGAGTAGGGTATAGTTTGCCGGTCCATGGCCATATTGACTATTTAATGCTGACAGTTCAGTAGAACACAGGAAGCATATGCTTAGTAGCACAGCCCTAATTTTGCTAGCCATTCTTATAGTAATCTTTGTGAGACTGCCTAAATGCATGTTAACATATATTTAGTCCAGAGAGTGTTACATGTCAGAAAGGAAAACAATATACCAGCAGTGTTCACTTCACTGGATATTTTAATTTGTTAATTGCATATCTGCTAACTGTAAAAATTAAGTAATAACTGTTTATAAGACTTTTCACCCTAGGCTATCCTTATGCTACTGTGAGTTTGATGTTCTGACTATGTGTTAGAAAATTGGTTTCTATTCTAGCAGATTTTTTTTTTTCTATTTGTATCTTCACTACATGTGTGTGCATGGTAAGAGGTCCCTATTTCTTTCCTTTGACTGTAAATGTCTATCTTTATCTTATAAATGTACACTTTTTAAAAATCTTGAGTAGGGTTTAAAGGTGCTTGTTTTTTGGTTTTTTTTTTAAATGAATACACCTTTCAAAGATTCGTTGAACTATTTTAACATACATTCAATCTTATAGAGCAGGTAGCATCAGAGGGCCTTTTTCTGACCCACACAAAACATTTGTTTAAATTGTTTTTACAAGCATTTAAAAACTCCATTGCAGTTGGGACAAAATGTATCTTCAGCATAGTGTCACTTTGCTATCTCCCTGCTTTGTCTGGAGTAAAGTCCTGAAGCACTACCTAC